TATCTCTCCTATTACAATGATCAGGTTCTGCTAGTTATTAAAATGGTCTGTGAATGTGTTTTATCCCCCCTATTTAGGATATAAACTCTCCAAAGAAAAGGACAGGGGCTTAGTCATCTTTCCATCCAAAAGAAGATTAAATATGGTAAGCTCATTTCAATCTCACAAACACTTACTGAGCACTATGTGCCAGGAACTGAGCTAGGCACTCAACAAGGGTTTAACTCATTCGCCACTGTCTCCTTTTTAGATAGAGCTCAGCATTCTCACTGTAAAATCAGGAGTTTCAGTTATGTTAGTTCACAAGGGCAACACAGCTTGGGCATGAACTTTAACACTCTATTCCAGTTACTATATGCATAGTTACTAGTTACAGTCTACTAGTTACTAGATCAACAGTATGATTATTCCTTTTGAGTTTCATACCAACCTACTATATCATTTCTAAGTTTCAATTTTAAATTTTATTTAGAGATCCTTGGAGATGATTGTCATTATCGTTCTAGAGTGAAATCAGTTGTTCAAAGTTAATTGAGATCTCTACACATACAGAATTGACACATTTAAAAAATAGATATTTTTTAAAGTATACAGCCAATGTTAGTTAACCCTTCTGTGCTTCCTGCTCTGGGAACTCTAGCTGCAGAGACCTCTTCTAATAGCCATCTCTTAGAAGAGGAAGGTCAATGAACTAAGAAAAAATGTACACAGAAAGTCAGGTAGACATTAACCTGAAAGAACTTAGTATCAGTGGGTTACCCCTCATTCAGTTGTCTGATGTATAAATTCTAAGTTTAAATTAACTAAAAGGCTTACATATCTATCTAATCCATGATGCATATGGAAATTTTCTATAATACTCTATGGCAAGTTTGAACATTTTTTGAGAAATAAATTAAATATGTAACGTTGAGTTGTTATAACTTTGTTCTAAAAATAAATGTGAAAAAGTGAAACATAAACAATTATAAAGACTTACAAGAATAGAAAAAAATTCTTCAATTACCTCCATTTTGTTACTTCAGTTTGTGCTAATAAAAACTTAAAAACAGCTGAACTGTGGCTACTTATTATGAAATATTCATTGGGCAAAATAAAACAAAACAAAAAAAAACCTAACTATAGATTTGAAAAATGATACCATAGGCCCAATAGAATGGTTACAACATAAAGTTAAATTCTAAGCTAAAAATTTTTAAACAACTTTTTGTCCCCTCTATATGTACTATGTTATGCAATAATCTGAAACTATCTTTCTGTGCTTCTGTTTATTCTTATGAAAAAAATATATTTCCAGTTTGGAAAAAGATATGAAACAGAAGTATTTTAAGACATTCAGTCTTAAGCCATAAAGTTGTAAGATGTTTGTCACTAATATTTTAGTTAACATAAATATATTTCTACCTTGGCAACTGAAATTCCATAGTCCTGCAGAGGTCTAACAGCCTCATTCAGTTCTTCAAGAAATACAGATGTTCTTGGGGAATCTAAAATAAAAAATGTTTCATTAATGTTTATAAATTGCCCCTTAAAAATGAATTTTAAAATCTGAAACACACAAGAAATAGATCCATTTGTCCAACTAGCAGGCAAGAACAATTAACTAAACATATCTCGCTACATGTTTTCACGCCCTTATTTTACTATTGCCTCACTATTCTTATTTCTAATGCTTTTATCATAACGTATTTTAACTTTGTAAATAGACTTTAAAAGCTTCCTAAAACAATAATACGATAAATAAGTGTTTAATTTAAACCTAACATTTGGCATTATTCTTCCAAGTTTAATACCATATATATAACACACATGTACACATACAAAAACTTTCAAAATGATTTTAAAATACTGTTTTCAAATCACAAGTAAAATAAGGGAGCCAACAGAAATGTGTACTCACTTCACTTACTAATTCCAAGAATAGCATTTTTAAGACATGAAGACTTGAATTTGACTATTAAAAAATTATTAGTTATGTTCAATGTTATATTAGTTAATTCAGTGTAATTAACAAAGCAGCTAAAGCAGGGTATTAATCTAAAGCACTACCAGTACTACATTTAAAGTTTTAAAAAACTTAAAATAGTTACATCCTAAAAACCTGAGAACGTATTCTTTCAGGTGTTATACTAGTAGTCAGTTCTTATCTAGTATTTACTATGGACTAAGCACATAAGTAAACTCATTTAATCCTCACAATAAACTTATAAAGTACTGTTTCTTCTGAATCGATGACGAAAGAGAAACACAGAGAAGCTAAGTGACTTAACCAGGGTCACACCACAGGCAAAGTGGCAGGGGCCGGATTCAAACCCAGTCAGGCATATTATAGTAACAACTGTATAGCACATATTATTAATCCTAACAGTAATCTCCCACTGAGCTTATTGATTAAACAGCAATAAAAACATCACAATAATCATAATCGAATTTTAAAAATACTTACCAGCTTGACAAAAATAAGCTAAAGAGGCTTTTCCTGGTTGCAATGTACTAAAATATTTCTGAGGACTCAGTTCTGGTAAAGAGTCTATTGTTGGCACGTAAAAAATGCACATTATGGCAAAAGAGATCCCAACTCTAAACACACTGGAGCCGGAAGACATCATCAGCTCCAGTTGCCTGTGAGCAGAAGAGTTTGTCTGTTTCTTCACTGCTGTGTTCTGTTTCCTAAGACAACACCTGGCACAGAGAAGGTATTCAACAAGGGTTTGTTGAATGAATTTGTTAAATGAATGAATGGAGTAAAATCTACAAAAAGAAAAAGCTAAGTCATTAGTCCTATCATTTGATTTTGCTAGTACTTTACTATATATTAAAAATTTGAGGGGGGACAATATATAACAACATCAACTTGATAATATTGATTTTTGATACTTACAAAAGATATCAAAGCTATCTAGAAAATGCTTACTTATCTTAAATTTCATAGATATTTACTAGAGTATGCTAGGCTAATTGTCATTTTCAAGGGTTCTAAAATTAATTCTCAAACATTAACCAATCCATTTCTCAAATTGGACATTTTGTTTTTCTTTACCTATAACTGAATATAAGAAATAATCAAATAATTATTTAATATCATTAACATGGGAGTGAGACATCCAAAATATGCCTAATATGTTTACTTTCTTTTTACTTTAAATCCCCTAGAAGAAACCCAGTAAAACAATGGAAGAAGGGGAACTGTGGCTTAGGTACAGACACGGCCAAGTCCAAGAACCACACCATACACAACCAGTCCCGAAAATGGCACAAAAATGGTATCAAGAAACCCTGATCACAAAGATACGAATCTCTTACGGGGGTGGACCCCAGGTTCCTGAGGAACATGCGCTTTGCCAAGAAGCACAAGAAGAAGGGCCTAAAGAAGATGCAGGCCAACAACACCACGGCCATGAGTGCATGTGCTGAGGCTGTCAAGGCCCTTGTAAGGCCTAAGGAGGTTAAGCCGAAGATCCCAAAACGTGTCAGCTGCAAGCTTGATCGACTTGTTTACACTGCCCACCCCAAGCTTGGAAGCGTGCTCCTGTCTGCACTGTCAAGGGGCTCAGGCTCTGCTGGCCAAAGGCCAAGGCTAAGGCCAAGGAACAAACCAAGGCCCAGCCAGTTCCAGTTCAGGCTCCCAAAGGTGCCAGCCCCCTAAAAAGGTTTCAGAGTAGATATCTCTGTCTGCCAACACGAGGACAGAAGGACTGGTGCGACCCCCCAGGCTGCTATCTGCATGGGTCTGGGGTCTTTTTGTGCTACTTGTACAAATAAACTTGAGGCAGGAGAAAAAAAAAACAATGGAAGAACATTCCTTCTAAATATACATATTTTGTAACGCATAACACTTAGGTTTCTTTATACTGCTTAGAAATGAAAATATCTTTTTCAACTCATACTTTAATCTAATTACATGTTCTGAACTCAAATTTCTTCTAGATATCCTCCTCTCATCATCTTTCCTGGTGTACTTACTTCCAGGCTGTCCTCTGTATCTGCTGTTAATTCTCTTTGTTTTTCTATTACGCTACTTTCAAATTTTTCTTGAACAACTTCAGGAAGTTTTCTACTGATGATCTATGTTATCTACATTTAAAAGAAGGAAGTTTACAAAAATTAGTATAATATAAAAACAGCCATAGCTATAGGTGAAAATTTTGTTTCAGTATTTTTAAAATTTCAAACAGGACCCATCTCTTCCAAATGCAAGCTCAGTATCTCAAAATAGGCAACAGGAAAAAACAACAAAAGATTATTTCTATATACTTATAAGGATAAGGTAGAATTTTTTAGCAAATAATAAAATGATAAAGAATTTGAAATGTACGAAAAATCATATTAAATTGAATATTTACTCAGCTCATTCAATATTATCAATAAACACAAAATATCTCTCCCTAACAAGTCAGTATTTCTGAAAAAGAAAAATAAACTAATTATTCATAGGTTATTTCCTAATAATTCTGTTCATCAGAGATAGTATATATCAAACAGTGAAAAAAATTTGCCATCAATTTTTAATAATGAGTCGAGAGTTGAAAAACTCAAAGTAAAGTGAGAAGCAAGAACTATAAGATAAGACATATATATATATATAAATGTAATTTTAATGACATAAGGGGTATTACTGACATTTAAATTGATTATACATTATAACCATTTTAAACCTACCTATGTTAAAGCTACTTGATATCAATAGGGATGTTACAAAATAGGTCATCCACTATTTTCTTCATATTCTGGAGAAAATGCGTGCATTTCTGAGGCTAAGGGAATAACTAACATTCATTACTATATATGAAATAACTATAACCTAATTAAACTGTACAACACTAAAAGCACAGTTGAAAGATTCTAGTATAAAATATCATCTTTCCTGGCCTCCAGGTTACAATTTAACTATTTTAACACTAAATTGGACATTAGTGTTAACACATTACTCTTTTCCCATAGAATGTATTTTTGTAGCACAAAAAGTCTAACCATATAGTCAATGCTTAAATACTTTCCCATATCTTCTACCTCACTAGACAAACAAGATTATACATGTGAAATACTGTGCTTTTAATCAGTTAGAGACATTGGTGATTGTTCTTACATATGTTTAGAGTTAGGAACTCAGAGTAATCTCTGCAGTTTGTTCCATCTTTGGTAAGATTTGATGATTTTAAAAATTACTTAAAGCAAAGAATACACCATGGGTCAGCTAGAAGTAGAATTTATGTCTTCATAATGAAAAAAATACTGAATAATGATTTAACCAAAACCCACCCTAACAATTGTTGAGAGAAAGAAAAGATAGAAAGTAAGGAAACATGTAGCTGGGATGGCAAAAGAAATGAAAGAGAACTAAATTTTCGACTTTCACAAAACCAAAAACCAAGTTTATTGGAAATAGGAAGGTCAGTGCCAAAACAAACAGTTAGCAGTTGAAAGTAACTGCCTCTAAGGAAGAAGAAATGGGGGCAAGGGAGTAGGGGGAGGATATCTACCTTGTAGGGCCGTGGAAGAGTGGACACTTCACATGCATGGAAAATAAAATGCATTTCCTCAGAGACATGCTGTCCTCATAAAAAGATCTTAACTAAAGGCAAGGGAATATGAGTGGGAAAAGAGAATATCAACAAGAACAGAGTGAAAACAAAGATACAAAAGGTACTTGGTGACTTGTTTTTACCTACAGCAATTAGAAAAGGGAATGAAAAACAATACTTGGACAGCCACGGTGGCTCATGCTTATAATCTCAGCCCTTTGTGAGGCCAAGGCAGGAAGATCACTTGAGCCCAGGAGTTCAAGAGCAGCCTACACAACACAGAGACCCTGTCTCTAGAAAAAGTAGGGGAAAAAAAATGTAGCCATGCATGATAGCACACACTTGTAGCCCCAGCTACTCAGGAAGCTAAATGTGATCATGATTGAGGCTACCTGTAATCCAGCCTGGGTGAAAGAGGAAGACCCTGTCTAAAAAACAAACAAAAGCCAAAAACTTAATACTACAAAAATCTAGATATCAGAACCAAGTGATGAGTACCTTCAGAGACATGTGGCCTTGTTACCTTGGTGTGATAGCTCATTAGTACAATTCTGGTTCTTCTTGCAGTTACTGATTACACTTAAGCTCCCTTCATCCCCCACCTCTGGTGAAGTTAGTTAGGACCACTATATGACTTACTGTGGCCAATAAAATGCGAGCAAAAGTGGCCTCTGTCTCTTTCAGGAAACAGTTCCCGCAGCTAGCGTTAATAAAGTCAGGGTTTACCGTCTTCTGCTGTAGTCAAGAGAAATGCTCAAATGGTGTCTATTCTGTGAGCAAGAGCATAATACAGAGAACTGCCAGCTAAGGTGTAATGAGCATGTGACATAGGAAGAAATAAAACTTGTTGTTTTAAGCCACTGAGATGGCAGGAGTTATTATAGCAGCATAAACTAGTCTCTCTTAACCTGTGTATAAACTAGAAGTGAGATGCCATCTTAACAAAAACTCCAAAACACTGGCTTAGCAGCCAAACAGCATAGAAACTGTTGTGGGCCTACTCAGGAAAACATTTATCAGAGACCGGAGAACAGCAAGTGACCCACATTAACAAGTGACAAAACATTTAATAAAACTGTCACTAATAATTTGGAGATGACATGTACCTGATTAACTTATAATGAATATGTACCTAAGTTCCTGTGGCTAATGAACTTATTTATAGCCCTAAAAGAAGAGGTTGGAAGACAGATTAGTACTGTGTAATGGTTGCTGTTAGTGGTGTTTAACAAGGCATTAAAAGAAAAATACTCAGAGAATTGCCAGCCAAAAGACTAGACGTTCAAAACCTGAAACAATTCTTAGGCTCCCACCCGTCCGTGGTCACAAAGCAAACTGACAAAACTGCTTAGCCACAAAAAGAGGCCATATTTCGGATGTGGCCAAGAGTAATAAAAATGTAAGAATCTTACACAGGGCAAAGCCAAGAACCACGGAGAACTATGCTCTAGGGCATATGCAGAGTAGGCACTATTTGTTACTGGTCTAAATGATATAACTACAGAAATGGAATATAAATGTTTAGGAGATTTTACAGCAACTTCACATAGTAATTTTATGTTTGTTGAATCTAATAATAATTTTTAAGTTGGGCTTGTAATTTGATGTTCTTTATTTCACTTTTTCTGTAATTCATTTCTATTGTGTTAGGTTACTGTTGTTCTTTAAACTGGCCTAGAGAACTCAGGGAACAGAACTAGAGCCCTAGAAACACCTGCCCAGAGAGATTTCAACTGTAGATTGCTACGGTCTAGATTCTGGTGTGTCTCTTCCATTCTTCCTCTCTCCAAATGAAAACACTTAAACTCATCTCTCCCAACACTGCTTTATGTATTCAACAGGGGGTGGAAAACAAATAAATTCTACCTAGACCAGTATAGACATGACCACTGCTGGGCATTACTCAGAGATTCTGAACTTTAGGCTTCACACAGTGAAGATGGAAATTTTGAATTATAGCCACCAGGAAAAGCCAAGGATGAACTACATATAGGAAGGAAAGTATTTGTTGACAAGAGAGGACTGTTCAAATGTTTCTAGTTCTCTGCACGTTAAAATTATACCTCTCACTTCCATGACTTAGGTATAGCCATGACTTGATTTGGTTAATGAAACGTGCAAGGTGACATGTACTTCTGTGAGCCTTTAAGAGTCAGTATACATGTATAATGAATCACAACACATTTTCCCTCTACCATGTGACTGATAACACTCAAAATTAGGCCTTTTCTGTCAGCCCAAGTCCCAGAAAGGGAACAACATGGGGAAAGCTCCCAGCTGATCCAGTGTGACTATAAAACAAACTATTAGGCCTGGCATGGTGGCTCATGCCTATAACCCCAGCACTTTGGGAGGCTGAGGCAGGTGGGTCACCTGAGGTCAGGAGTTCGATACCAGCCTGGCCAATATGATGAAACCCTGTCTCTACTAAAAATACAAAAAATTAGTTGGGCATGGTGGCAGGAGCCTGTAATCTCAGTCACTTGAGAGGCTGAGGCAAGAGAATTGCTTGAACCCAGGAGGCAGGGGTTGCAGTGAGCCAAGATAGCACCACTGCAATCCAGCCTGGGCAACAAGAGTGAAACTCTGTCTCAGAAAAAAATAATAATAAAAAATAAAATAAATTATTTTAAACTCCTCAGTTTTCGGGGTTGTTTCCACAATATAACCTAGTTTAGCACTATTTTTTTTTTTTTTTTTTTTGAGACGGAGTTTCACTCTTGTTACCCAGGCTAGAGTGCAATGGCGTGATCTCGGCTCACCGCAACCTCCGCCTCCTGAGTTCAGACAATTCTCCTGCCTCAGCCTCCCGAGTAGCTGGGATTATAGGCACGTGCCACCATGCCCAGCTAATTTTTTGTAGTTTTAGTAGAGACGGGGTTTCACCATGTTGACCAGCATGGTCTCGATCTCTTGACCTCGTGATCCACCCGCCTCGGCCTCCCAAAGTGCTGGGATTACAGGCTTGAGCCACCGCGCCCGGCCGTTTAGCACTATTAGTACACCTGGTCTTAGCAATGGGTAAAAGGACTATGACTTGAACATAAAATCTATATCCTAGATTTTAAAGCAAGATATTTCAAAGAATTCATAGGAAATTGACCCAATTCCACTGTAGGAAAATTCTAAAGAAGATGACTCTTTAAAAAGCAATTGACTATTACCACAACAGATGCCAATACCAAAAGAGGGGAAAATTCATAGGTAAATGTTTTCCATAACTATAGAATGTCTGCCAATACTACGGATACACCTCCCAACTACATGTAGACATTGACCCTTTGGGTTGGAAGAGGCTCTCAATTCTTCAGTATAACGTTCCTGCTGGTATGGATCAGAGTTGGCATATAACATGTAACTTTTGTCTCATCCCTTAACTCTAAATAAGTATGTTTGCACAGCTCATTTAAATAATAGAAAGAATGAGTGACATGTAACTAAGGACTAATACAAGAGGGTAACAGCTCTGTAAAAATGGCTTGGTGAGATAACAGTAGAAAAGGGCTAAAGCGTGCACATAAAATGCTCAAGGCAACAAAAATGTGTTTTGTTCAGCATCCAAATATTAAGCTCCAAAGCACATCAAGAAGGAAGTACTTCAAGAGAAAACACTAGTCTTCTTGGTAGTAAGGAAACAGTATGAGGATTTGCCTTTGTGTTCCTTAGGCAGATAGAAAAGCTGGTAGCCCTCATTAGCTCCATCAATCCCATTTTGGTATAGGGTACTGTATACAATAGTAATTGACAAACAGTTCTGTTTTTAGATGTTTGAAAGACTACTGTGCTAGGGTCATCTATCCTCTTGGAACAACAATATTAAATCTTTATGCGTTTGGACACGTTTAAATTTTAGAATAGCTGACACCAAGCTTTTGCAGGAAACCCTTGGTTAGTTCCCCCTTTATAGGCCTAATATTCGCTTATGAACCATAAATTTAACAGCTTTCCCTCTCAGGAAAAAGAGGAAATTAACAACTATAACTATTAAATAAATTGTATCAACATCTGTGGGCATCATACTCAGGAAAAAGAAACACTTCATATTTTGCAACAAATGGAGCATATAATGCTTACAAAGTTCCCGTAAGAACATTCTGTCTGGAGTCAGCTTACTTACAGTTTAATGCTGCTACTGGAGAACAGAACCTGCTCACTGAACCAGTCTCAAATAAAATGTTGATTGGATCTCAAATTGGATTATCATTTCAGACCCAAAGAGGCAATAAAAGGAGTCAACAACCCTCCCCTTTAGAGCCTTTTCAAAACAGTTAGGAGGAAAATCCTCTATGTGCACCCTCACTCCCCACCCCGCCAGACATACTCTCATCCCCAGAAAAAGCAGAAAGGAAGAGGCTATCCAGACTTGCTCTTACTGACAAATGGCAGGTGGTAGGTAAGTCTCACAGGCAAAGACCTAAAATTAATATGGGTACTATCCAGATGTTTACTATCACTTTAAGAAGAGAATAAAGGAGAAAAAGAAAAATGCTTTTGTAATAAGTCTACTGATGACGTGAAATGTGCACCTCAATGATAAAGAAGATGCAAATAGGCCATGCCAGAGAATATGTGGCACACTTGATTTTGACAAGTGCCTAAAATCACAGAACTCTGATTTTATGCTTAATTTAAATGCTTCAGCACATTACTGTAATCAATTACCTCACTGCAGTCATGAGCATCCTGTCTCCTATTTGAAGAAAACTGTGTACTGCCCTGACCACATTCTCTAAAAATACATGAGATGAAGTTCTTAGGTTCCAATAAAAATAAATCCTTCTCCAAATGATAAATGTTGGATTCGGCCTGTTAACTTCTTAGAGCAAGCCGTACCCTCCGGTACACTGCACTCTCTACCTGCTCAGCTGAATGTTTCATCTGAGGGATGTCTATGTAACAGTGCCAGGCCTGTATATCTACCACAGTTTGTCAGCATACCTATAAGGAACCCAAATCACACTAGCATCTGGTACCTGGACAAACTACTGTCTCAGAATCTAGAGTACGAAATGGACTTTAAAGTTCCCTGTGGAATACTTAGCCAGGAAAAAAGAGAGCAACACTCTTCTTGGGCAAAGCATAGGACAAAGGCAGCCTGGACAACATATCGGGAAAAAAAAAAAAAAAATTAGGCGGGCACGGTGGCGCGTGCCTGGAGTCCCAGCTACTTGGGAAGCTGAGGTGGGAGGATTGCTTGAGCCTAGGAGGTCGAGGTTTGCAGTGAGCTGTCACTACAGGCTGGGTGACAGAGCGAGACCCTGCATGAAAAAAGAAAAAAAAAAAAGCATAGGACAAAGGATGATGAGGTAAGAAAAGCTGGGTCTTGGTGGCTCCTAGCAATGAATGTCTTTCAACGGATACTGAATTCGTAATGTGCTGTATATTCTAAAGAAATTTTCCTCCTAATTTTGCACTATTTGCTAATTTTATTCCCAAACAGGAAAGAAAAGCTGTCAACAACTATGTGCTGGTCCAATATACATTAGTCAATCTGTTTATTCCTCGCTTCTTCACAGCAGTAACATAGCATATATTTTTCTCTCTCAGCCCCAGGAATAGCGCCACCGTCTACCATACACAGGTCCAAGGCTTCAATATATGTGGAATTTAAACAGCACAGAATATTTTTCCTTTCCAGGCAATCGTCAGACTTACAAGTCTCTAAGCCCAGAGCATCCTCCCAAATTCTAAGTTTCAAAGAACCAGCTTCCCCTTGGTCACAGATCGCTTCAACATCCATCTGATACTACTACCATTCTTCCTTAAGAGACATTTCCCTTGGGAGGAAAGGGTCTTTCACTTAAGAGCTCCGGATCTCCTCGTCGCCCGTTTCCATCCCCTCGACCCAGAAAGGGCTCCAGTGTTTCCCGCCCTTCACGCAGCGAAAAGAGAAGGTAAAACTCCCTCAGAAAGCTCCAGGTGAGGCCCTTCGATGCCCCAGAGGCGGATGTCCTAAGTCAGACTCCAGAGCTCTGCAGTACAGCCCTGCTACAGAAAACTGCTTCGTCTGAACCCCCGGGTCTGCGGGCGGAGCCCACAGCCTGAAGGACCCGCGCTGTCACCTACCTGCCCAGGATCTGAGGGCGGGGACCCCGGTCATTTCCGAGGCCGCGCGGCCAACAGTTCCCGCCGCGACGCGACGGAGGAGGCAGAAGGCGAGGCCGTCCCAGGCTAGCCCGGCAGCCGGGAACCACTTCGCCTACCTGCGAAGGCGCGGCACCGCTCCCACCCAGCCTGCGGCCACCACCCGCTCGCCAGAGTCGGCCTCTAGAGCAAAAAACAAACCTCGAAGCTCCTCCTTCTCCTCGTGCTCCCTACGCGAGGGACTCTAACCAATGGGAAGCGCCGGGGGCGGAGTGAGAGTGACAGACGATTACAGAGTCCTCCCGCCGGCGCGAACGGGCGGTGCAGTAGCTGGGCCAATGAGCAGCGCGGGTGGGAAGTAAAGGGGTGGGAGAAAGTAGGCAAAGTAGGTGCCCAGTCAGATCTCGGGGCCATCGAGCGACGGGTCCTGCGGCCAGTGGCCTTCCGAGTGCGGCGCTCGGGGGGCGTGCCCGCCTGGGCCAATCGGCGCGAGCCCACAGTGCGGAGCGAGCGCCTCAAATGCTCGGGTTTCTCAGCTGATTGTCTCCAGCCGAGAGTTGTTTTTTGCAGCTACGGAGCCGAGCCGCTGCCGGAGCCGAGACCCCTGGGGGGTGGGGGAAAGAGGAGGCGGGGTCGAGGGGGAGCTGCGGCTGCTCAGCGCGGGACTCCGGGTCCCGTCACGGCGCTTCCTGGGGTTAGAGGTTGGGGTGGGTGGGGGGTAAGGGGGCAGTCCTTCTCCCCCTCGACGGCGGCTCCGAGTCCAGCCCCTTCCTTCCCGCGCTCGCTCGCCTGACCCTCAGCCCCTCGATGAGGGTGTCCGTGCCGGCTCCGGCGGCCGCTGCCGCCCCCGCGGCCGGCCGCGAGCCCTCCACGCCCGGTGGGGGCGGCGGAGGCGGAGGCGCCGTAGCTGCCGCCTCAGGCGCCGCGGTGCCGGGCTCCGTGCAGTTGGCGCTGAGCGTCCTGCACGCCCTGCTCTACGCCGCGCTCTTCGCCTTTGCTTACCTGCAGCTGTGGCGGCTGCTCCTGTACCGCGAGCGGCGGCTGAGTTACCAGAGCCTCTGCCTCTTCCTCTGTCTCCTGTGGGCAGCGCTCAGGACCACCCTCTTCTCCGCCGCCTTCTCGCTCAGCGGCTCCCTGCCCTTGCTCCGGCCGCCCGCTCACCTGCACTTCTTCCCCCACTGGCTGCTCTACTGCTTCCCCTCCTGTCTGCAGTTCTCCACGCTCTGTCTCCTCAACCTCTACCTGGCGGAGGTAAGGCGGGAGGGCCGGCATGCAGGGCCCGGGCGGGTGCACGGGGCCGCCCGGATCAACTCCCGCTGAGGACCGGCGGGGGCGGGGGGTGGGCAATGATAGGCGTACTCGAAACCAGCCGGGGGAAACTGAGGCACACCTGGAGTGTGAGCCGGCGTTTTCCCCCTAAACTTAAGCGACTGATTGGCTCGGTTACTGAGGGGTCCGGGGCTAGGGGGTGAGAGTGTGTGTGTCAAACAACTTAAAACAGTAACGGAAGGAACCCTTTGTTCCGTGTTCTGGTCCTCCGAGGTACGGCGTTGGTGGCATCAACAAAGTGGCTTCGCAAAAAGTAGCAGCCCCGGTGGCTCTGCCGAAGCCGGACTGTGTTGAGGGAGGTTGGGTGCTGAGGTAGCAGCAGCTCTACTGAAGCTGGACTGCTGCCAGCCATTACGTCACCAGGCAGAGCTGTTCCTCTGCTATTGTTGCTGCGTTTCTTTTATTAGAAGCTTATATTCCCTCCTGCATCTCCTTTCCTGTGGCTCGATAAGCCTCACACAAATTCCGTTCGATAGTTCCCCAGCAGGGTTGATGATCAATAACCAATGCAGAGGATCAGGATAAGGACCTCCATAAAGCCCTTAATGTTTGCTCCAGTTGCTTCCTGCTTTAGCGGTTTATCCTACCTCCTATAGCATAGTCTTTTTTGGAGCTAATTAAGGGGAAAAAAATACTAGCTCAACCTGTGTCTATTGCAGAAACAAAACCACCAAACTGTTTTTGCAATAACTTGCTTAATATCTGGAACCTAATCACACCCCCTTTCTCTTTTATGGGGAATTGCGGGTTGGATTGCATTGTTCTGCAGCGCTTAGGTGTTTGACCCATTTCAAACAGGTTTGGGAGTGTAAGGTTGTCAATCGTGTGTCAGCTTGTGGTATTTAAGCCATAATATTTTAAGATTTTCCCCAAAAAAAGTCCTCCTTCCACCCAAAAGAAAAGCTTGAGAAGGGGAGGCAGCAAGGTGACGTCATACGCTTAATACAGACTAATATAGAATAATATTGGCCTATGCAGCTAATCCTCTCAAAGGCTTTTTTTTTTTTTTTTGAGGTAATGATAATGTAGTTCCAAGCAAAAGTAAAAAAAAGAAAAAAAAGGTGTATGTTAAATGTTTATATTTTCTGGATAAACCACCTCTTTTCTCCTTTAATGCATAGGAAGTAGAATGCATAATTTTAAAATCAGTCGTAATGTCAACTGTTTAGCACACTAAAAACAACAATACTAATTTAACTTTTATTCTTTTCTTTCTCCTTTCTTTGAAAGTCCAAGCAATACAAAGACAGAAACCCAAACCGTAAGCAGAAATAAGAAGCGTAGGTTATCGCAAATCAAATGATGACGCCATAGCCGTGTAACTTATTTGGGGATGTTCTAGTTGTTGTTTAAGGTGCTATAACACTGCTACCCTTTATACTTAAATTGATATAATCTTCCTGCCACCATTTCAGATAGTGTGTTAGTGCCTTCTCAACACTGAAGCCTCTACTCTAGCTTCAGTTGTTTACCTGAAAGTGACTAGCAATCCTTATGCGAGGAGCATCAGATGACTTTTTTTCGTATACATCTTGATTTACAAAATCATATGAATGATTCACTGTAAAAAATAGTTGATAGGCATTTCATAAAGTGGGTAAACACTCCTTTTACTTCTAGAGGTATAACGTATACCATAAAGTCCACAATCTTAAATGCGCAGCTAGATGAAATTTTACTTTTGTATACACCCGTGTTACCACCACCCAGATTAACATATAAAGCATTTTCAGTGTCGCAGAAGGTTCCCTTGTTACCCTCTCCCAGTCAGTAGCTCCCCCAGGTAAACACAAAGTGGGTAAACACATCACAAAAAAGGATCCATATTTAAGCTCAAAATTCTGAAGATAGGCTTATGTAGCATAAAATAGAGAATCTAGATTGGGTCTTCACACTTTTGAGGTAATATTCCAAGCTAGTGAGGAAGAATTTAAAATCTAAAAGTCTTTCTGTTAAATGAATCTCTTTTGTGTGATGATAAAACTCTATTAACCTGGAAAATATAATTTGGAAAAGAAGCTGGGATAAAGGTTTTTTCCTTTGTAATGTCTACTTAAAAAGGTGTGAGTTGTTTGTCTATCCTCATCTTTTTATAATCGAATTAACAATTTTAGGACACCATTGTGCTTAAAAGAACAAATTGTCAATTTTTTGAAAGGAGATCTCTTAACCAGAAATCATTTCTCTTTTCATTAGATAAAATCACCAGGAACTTATATTTAAGAGAGTATTTGAGTTCACATTTTTGTATCAATTCCATGCAACTGGAAGTATACTTCCCATTGATCATTCTGAATTAATGAAGTTTTTCCTAGTGAGTTCTTCATATTATAGCAAAGTGGTAGGGAAAGCCTATGTGGTGACAAATATAAGACTTAACTGATGCTTATTTTTTTTTAACTGAAAGCCCCTATATCTTTTTTGAGTAGTTGTGTAACTTGATTACCAACTCACCCCGTGTTTACCATATGCTATATTAAATACCAGTTCCATATTACTTTTCACTTGTTTAAAGCATTTGATTTTTCTGATTCTCAGCAAGAGTAACTTTAAGGAATTAATTATAAAGAACCATGGATCAGTATAAAAAGTTAGTAAAACAAACTAATACTACTTTGAATAGTTTTGGTAGATATTCTAAAACTCATTTTGTTTTTGAAAAGTTAATTGCCTAAAACACCTTTTTTTTTTTTCTTTTTTTTTTTGGCATCTGCACTTGAATGGAATTGAGATGACTAATGTAGCCCTTTTTTAAACAATTAAGCTTCTCAGTGTCTCATACTTAACCTCCTGGAAGCCAATAGTTAAGAGGGAAAAACCAAACCTTGTACACTAATCTAAAAACACATGTTGAACTTCTGGCAGTATCAGTAGGACATGAGCTTTACCAGAGAAGGGTTCACACTCCTGGACGTTTACCAGAGAAGACTTAAATACTGTGTTTAAAACAGACTGTCTGATAAACCGATTCTATCCACCATTAGAACATGTTGAAGGAGCTTAAAAGGAGTGTTAACAGCATCACAGTATATCCAGGTAACAAACCTGCACATGAGCCTCCTGAATCTAAATTTTTTTTAAAAAATGAGAGTTGATGGTATACCATCTTGGAGTGTTGTGATGCATGCCAAAAATCAATAAGTTCATCTTCAACATATTGAAGTTTTTACTTGCAATTTGGTCTTATGAGTGCCAGTTGCTTAATCAGAATAAAGTACAGTGACTCAATCACAATGCCAAAACAGCTAGGAAAATTAAATTCAAAATCTTAACACTTACATTTGTGGATGCTATTATTGTCCCTGCCAGTAGATACATTCTTTCAAATATTGGTAATACTTTAACATGCAAGTCAACTTACAGGTTGATTGATTTTGTTATGTTCTGTGATTTCCCACAAAAGTGGAAATCACACTTCTACCACCTAAAATAGAAATTTCTTGAGGATAAGAAGTTGTTTTACATATTTTTATCTCTAGCAATCAGAACAATGGTGATTATGGTATTGAATGACACTAAAAAGGTCAAAATTTAGAAAATATTTAGCCATCTAATATGTGGAAGTTAACTTTATTTTGATGAACGTTTGAGGTAAATTATGTACTGTCTGGAATCTATTTTCTGCCTAAAAGATTTCACATAAAATAGAGTTTTGCTTTATGAAACTATTTTTATATCATGGCAAATGGCCCATACTAATTGGGGCTTTGCTAATTTAGTTTCAACAAATTCTACAAAATAGAAAAGTCTGTAAGACAAGTCTCATATCCTGAGTCAGTTACTGTTTACCAGAAACAGTGGTTTAGTTCAGTGTTTTACTTTTATCCATAACTGATTATAAACTTTTTGTCTGAATTTACTAAATTTTTTCCACTATCTTATTTCTCCTGAAATCATCTGTGAGGCAAAAGTTTCAGATACATTTCTGTAACAAAAGACATGATTATAATGCCAGTATTTTATGAAACTGGTATTTTCAAAGCACTTTGTAACATTTATCTTCACAACTCCAGTGAAATAGATAGAAAAGGGATGTGATTTGTCCAAGATTATATGGCTAACATGTATCAGATGTGAGACTACTGTATAGCTTAGGTGCTATAAAGTCTTATCAAGTAATTTCTTCCTATACCATGAACTTTCCTGGATACATCACTTCTTTATTATTTAGTGATTCTCTAACTTGCTTTCCCATTTTCAAACTGTTTCAAACATTTTTCACTGTCTAGCAAACTCCCCTCCTTTCATCCACTGCATATGACTCCTAGTTTAAAGAAGTAGAAGCCAGAGTCATCTGGCTGACCAGACATTCAGAGAAATGCCTAACAATGCTGCAGAGAGTAGTCTTCTTCAATGCATGTTTGGGTTGGCAAGGAAAGGCTAGAAACTACAAAAAAAAAAAAAAAAAAAAACCACCAAAATGCAAATTCAGAATAAAATACCACACAAATGTGTGTCTTGAGGGTAGGATAGGAGTGGTTTTCAGCTGCCTCCTGTTAGCCTACAGCACAGATTTTAATTTTGTTCATTGAGGGTGTGAGGAAGTATTGCAGGCTATGCCTTGCAGTGAGGTCTGATAAAAGACTCCATGCCCTCCAGCATAATGCCAGAATCCTTTAAGTGTATGCCTTCGGCAGATGAACTAGGAAAATAAGCAGGCCCTCAGAGCAAGATAGGGGGTACAAATTGGGAAATAAAAGTCTTCCGTGGGAATGCAAAACAAGCTTATTCTTGCACAAATTTGAAGCCTAAATTCACATCATTTCTGTGATTGAGAGGAGGTGGCTGCGGGGGTGGGGGGGGGTTCAAGAGGTCTAACTTGAAAACATGAAGTTGTCCTTGCTTGATGCTAATCTCAAGGACCTGCAGGAAGCAGATGGAAAGCATCCCTGGAGGAATGTCCTTTAAACCCAGACTTCAGA